CTGCATTTCTTAGTTGGAGGTCAGTTTCCTGTCCTCCCGACTGTTTCTATATACAGAATACATGTGCCCCCTGCTAAACTTTAGGTAGGTCTGTATTTATATTTGTTTAAGAGGCTGAGGCTGTAGTGACCTGCAGTCACTGGTAGTTTATAATAATAAAATGTGCACATACTGATGTTTAAAATGCTTTTAATACAAAATACAAACCTGGCAGTTACGTAATTATTTATATACAAAATGATAGAGCCATTGAAAAGCTTCTGTAAAGCATTCAAGCAAGTGTTCCACGAGTGTAACGTGTCGATGTGCTGCCCTCAAGTGGTTCAATCCTGGTATAACATAAACGTCTTATTTAATTCTTTAAGTTACTTTTGGAAAAAAGGAGACCAGAGAAATGGAATTTCAAAAAACAAAATGTGATGGAGTTCAGGATTCTGTCAGTTTTATTCAACACATCCTTTACACATTTTTCTGCTGTATTCTAACACTGCAACAAATCATCAGCTGACAGAGTATGAATATCTCAGTGCCTCTGGTTTCAAAAAAGCTTGGAACCTCGTAAAACTCCCAAAAGTAAAAAGTAGTAGTGTTAATAACCTAATATCTCAGAAACTAGTACAATCTTGAAATTTCAAGTTTATTCTCAACATTAGCTCGATTAAATGTTCTATATTTTAACTTAGTTTGACTTTACATTTAAATGTCAATATTTTGACTTTATTCTCAACATGCGATATATATTTTAAATCCTCCTGATTTACTCTGGCTTTATTCTCAACATTTCAACATTATTTTCAATATGCCACATTTTGTGAATAATTCTCCATTTCTATCCTTTATTCTCAAGTTAACTGTCACTGCCGCTGCGCCACACTGTGTGAGGGAGCTGCAAAACCAAACATTTCAAAATCTGGCTTGAAGGACTCAGAGCTACACGTAGAGGAAACATTTAAAGGACAGACGAGTAAAGAGTAAAATAAGATCATACAAAAAGATCATCAAAATGAAGAACAACTGATTGACCTTGAGCTTAATATGTCCAATATCTGCACACTGGCAGTAGAGGAGTCTGGGGAAAGGTTCTGTACAAAGCCTGTTTTGTTGCTGTGGGCCTGAACCAAACAATGGCGTCCTTCTTCCACCTTATTGTCAGTCCTGCCGATGTGCTCCAGCACCACGAGGCTGCGTCAACCACACCGTGCCCACCTAGACATTACGCTCGGCTGCTGATTTAATGAGGCAGGGGCAGCAGTTGGTGTCAGGTAGGATGTCAGTCACAGGAAAACTGCGTTTCCTTGTATTGTCTGAAGTCTCTGACTCTTCCAAACAAACCTCAGGAAGAGCAGAGATCAACTTAGTCAAATCTGGAGTCATTATTTCCATTTTCCCCTTCTTAGTGTTTTTTAAGTGCAGTTTTACAACAAGCTGAGAATGATTTGTTTCCATACATGTGTGGATCTAATGTGTCCACAGCAACATGTGGTCTAACAGAGGAGGCTGGAACGAGCCTTCAGACTTTTTCTCTCTTTTCTGGCGTCAAAGGCTAAAATCAAATATTTGTTTTTTTAAAGGATCATTTCTTTAAAGGTACAGTTTGTAGAATTTAGTGATATCTAGTGAAATTGCATGTTGCAGCTGAACACACCTCACCTCACCCTCTCCTTCCAAACATGAAAAAGAACCTGTGGTGACGATAATTCTACATTCAATTTCTGACAATATTTCCCTTTTACCTAAATCCTACACACTGGACCTTTGAGGGTGTAACAGCTACTGACCAGATCCCGTTTACCGCCAGTGGTTTGTTTAAAGATCCACTTCCTATAAAATTCCACCACACGTGCACTCCTGGATCTTCCTTCGCTCTGGAGCTTGTGGATCGTCTCGTTTTGGCGTCTTATTTCAAAGCCGTTTCCTCTGATGAACGATTAAAGGACAGAAGACAGAATCACTTACCTGTTGTGAATCATTACATTTCTAGATATATAAGCATGTGATTTTTTATTCTGTTACCGTTGTCTCCTCCAGGAGCCATGGCTTCATTAGATCCAGCAGCTTCTATTGCTGTATTTTCATGGATATATAGATTTCAGCTTATTCAATCATAATGAAAACATTTGACAAAATAAAATAAGGGCTGTGGCTCAAACTTACATGGCCTCTTGTGCTTCCTCCAGAAATCTGTAAAGTTTGACAAATAGAATGAATTTCTCAGAATTTGAAGGCATCAATAGGAACAAAGGGGAGTTTGAGTTACTGACCTGCCTCCCAAGGCATGGATTCTGTAGGGGTGAGACAAAGAGGATATGATGTCATACATTAAGAACTCTCTAAGCTATTTAAAAAAAACAAAATTCTTTAACATGCTTTTCGTTTGAAAGGTTTTTAATTGCTCTCCTACCTTTCTGGAAGAACCACATCCCTACAGGAAATAAACACAGCAACCGTTACCAAACAAATCAAGTGTAACAGCTCATATCACGTTCCTACCACAGACTGTGCATGGATTCATACCTGCTCTGCACCGGTGCACGAGAGTCAGCAGCAGCACAGCAAGCAGCAGACAGATGAAGACTGTGACTCCAGAGCTGATATTCAGTTTCCTTTCAGCTGTTGTAAGACGACGACAACAACAACAACAGACACACTCATGTTGCTCATGTCGCCATCACACTCTCTCCTCCTGAAAGACCTCTAGAATTTAACTCACGCGTCGGGTCGGTGATGAAAGGGTTGGTGATGCGTTGGCTGCTCTTCTGACTGACTGGATTTTCCAGCTCGCAGCTGAACTCCTTTACGCTCTGACTGTTTTCCTGAGAAATGAGTCGAACATGGAGTATTATCGTTATACACTAGAAGTTCAACCACATTTATTCTACTCACAAAATGTCCTAATAATAATAATCACAGCAAATGAATCAGAAAATCAAACTAGGGCTAGAATCAATGCTTATTTTCATCTTATCATTTTTAGTCCAAGTAATATTCAAATAGAGCAAAACCCAAGAATATTGTAAAGCCACCTTTTCAACATGGTGATCTTTAGAGGAAACCGCCACTTGGACGTCGTCTGACTTCCACTTGTAGGTGACGCTTTCGACGCCTGTGACGTTTCCCTCGCAGGTCAAAGTGCAGCTGCTCATCTCTACGTTGCAGGATGTAGTAACCGTGGGAACGGGGACAGGAGCTGAACAAAAAAGAAGAGAAATAAAAAAATGTCCCTGTGGTTGATGAAGCTCTCTGAACAGTGACTCACCGATGACGATGAGGCGGGTGGGAGTGGCCTTGATGCTGTTGATTTCTGGAGTGTACACTTCGCTGTCATCTCGATACAGTCCCCTGATTGTCATCTCTCCATTTGAAGTGTTCAGGCTCCCACGCTCTTTAAAACACACAGTTTTAGTTCAGTAAAAATCCCAAAATGCAACGGTCATACCTCCTAGCATCAGCGTACCTTTAAAATGACGATAATAAGTAACCTCTGAGTCGGAGTCAGCCCACTGGACGGCGATGTGCAGACCAACTCTCCACATGACGCTGGTGATGGGAGCAGTCGCAGGGCCGGGACTGAGGACGACATCATCACCCAACCTCTTGTGAAGTATCTTCTCTGCAATGATAAAAAGAAGAAGCACAGAGAGAGGATTTTCAATTTAAAGCAACACTGTGAAATCACTGAGTAGCGGCGCCCTCTGGCATTTGAACTGAAACACAACTGATATTACCCATGATCCCCAGCTTCCTAAACCAAATGAGCTGCAGTTTGGAATTCCTCATATTTTAAGTCAAGTTAAACGTTTCCTCACTGAATTTTGGAACAAATGCAGTTTTTTAACATTTTGTTTTTATCAGATCTGCAGTTCAGTGTTAATCTTGAACTTGAGGAACTCATTCTTCCTGTTCCAACTTATTTTTAAGCTACTATATTAGGATTTTAAAACATTTGCATAGCGTTACTTTAAATAAGCATTTTACCAGCTGGATTCTGGTTTTATTATAGATAATGAATTCAACATTAAGCTGATGGTATTAATGTAATTAACTGTAATTATTGATTGATTGATTTTTTTTTTTATCACAAAAAACAACAAAGGGACCTTATTTGAAACAAGAGTTTGTAAAGATGGGATAGTTTATGGATGTTTAAAAATAAAATCCTGTCTTGAACATTAAGTTGTTATTTTATTTATCAGCATTAAGATGGTGGTGACATCTAATTTTTCTTTCCATGGAAATATTAAGTTAAATGTTTCATTAAGATTGTCCAATGATGTAAAACATAAATAAACAGGAACCATATTGGAGAGTTACGCCGTTTTCAGCCAACACTTGTTTATGTGATATATAATATGTACTTAATAAATCACGCCGAATTATCTTTTTACGGTTCTTCTTTTACTGTGTACAGTTTAATTTACTAAAAACAATCAATAAATAACTTTCTTCCTGAAGAAAAAGTTAAAATCGCATTATTCTAAGGTCGAATCCCTCATGCACTTTGCTGCTGACAGTGAGCCTGAGCTGCTGCTGCACAAACAACACAGTGTACATACGGGTTTACACTGGGTGGGGTCAGTGGATGTGGAAAATCCCGGTGGAGCGACGCATCCTGCACAGAAACCTCGATATTATCCAGAAAACCATTTTCAACAGAAGAAAGTAAAAGACAGGACTCACCAGCCTGTGACGGCACGAGACACAACAGAGCTGCAAATACAGACACAGTCTGCCACATCTTCCCCTCTCTGTCTCTTCACACAGCCAGACACCAGCTTCAATCCACACTTCCACTGGTCTGAGGCCAGAGGAACGTGTCAGCTCATGTCAGGTCAAAGATTTTTAAAAATCATTCAAGCTCAAATCGTCTTTGAAAATGAGCAGCTCACTGAGAAGCGGAGCAGAAAGATGGAGGAAAAGCGAAAGTAAATGAGATACCAGCTCAACCCGAACTCAGACTCCGCCTCCTCTCTCATGTTACATTACTATTTATAATATAATCCTGCCAAACACCCACACATCCACAGTGTAAATATCTAAATAAATATAAGTACTATTATTATCCACTGTTCAATAATATTGTTTGTTTTAACCTGATTATAAACTTATGATACTATGTTAGATTAGTTTTTTTTTCTTTTTAAATCTAAATGCACAATCTAAAGAGGCCCGTCCACATGTTGCTGCTGCAGCCAAAACAAATCAAATCTATGTAAAGTCTCATTTAAAAAAAAAAAGGAAGTTGCATTGGCCGGGAATCGAACCCGGGCCTCCCGCGTGGCAGGCGAGAATTCTACCACTGAACCACCAATGCTTGGGATACTGCTGGTGACAGCGCCACCTGGTGGCGGACTGCGGTATTTA